ATGAAGTAGTTTGACATACATCGAAAAGCACCTGAAGATGGCACTTTTATGCTGAAACATGTAGTGCAAGAGAGAAGAGTAAGGTGAATAAATGTATGCACTGTAAGACAGAATAAATCATGGACATAAATCAGTTCAACAGGACGCTAAAATATAACAGTTTATTTCATGTTATTAAAATGACATTCACTACATATAATTGATTACAATACTTTCAATTTTATGTTAATCTGTGAAAAAGTTTTTGTCATGTGTTAATGGAGTCATGTTTGTAATATAATGCGACAAAGACAGTTACCATTTCCTGTTCTACAAGCTGCAGGAGCAATAATTGTCAGTATTTTATATGAATGTCAGAACTTTTGGTGAACTGTTGAATTGTTTTGTTTTAGAGCAAAATGAGACAATAGTCAAACAAGAGCCTGAATCAGATGGCGAGACAGATGCAGAGCTCACACATCACAGAGACGAGGTTCCAGCACCATTTAGTTTTGTTGCAGTTAAAAGTGAAATTATTGTAAGTAATGTTATTTTTGTTACTTCACGTGGATCGAATGATAAGTGAGAATCAGTGTTCACTCTACTCCTGCTTTATTAAGACTGAGCTATTNCTGTATAACTTGTTCTGTAATTAGAATAATTCAAAGATTACATTGCATTTTGTTGAAACAGTATTTATATTACCAGAATTGTGAGAATGCTGGGGAAAATGAAGAGAGATTTGTAATATAGTTATTTGATCACTTACATTATGCAGTAGTCAGACTCATTATTAGTAAACATTAAACCTTTGTCTGGCAAGTTCTGCCGTAGCTCTGTCCCCTATACATGCCAAGGGTGCTTGGGAATGTATGTAGGTGCACAGAGAAACAACAGTTCCTCAAATAACCTTCAAGTGGCAACAGGTATGGAGTGTATGAAAGCCCATTATCTAAACACCGTTAAATCACACTTGATGCCATCTGTTTACCCAGAAATGCTGCACTTATTAACCAACAATGAGCTCATCAACTCAGCTTTGACAGTTTTAATGTAAGTACCCTGAGGCAATCTAATCTGCATGCGACATGCAAAATGTTTATATAAGAGTTCAAATGGGTGAGGGCAAGCTCAGATAAAATAGCAGGCAGATGTATATGTTAGTAGGAGAAATTTGTGGATATAGAGTCAGAAGTTAAAAAAATTATATTCCCATGGCTGCCAAATTACTATTCTATATAAAATCGCCCCAATAAAAGTTGACAAATTTTAAAAAATCTGTTACCATACATTATTTAGGGACACAGGTTAAATGTCACTAGTGTTTCTTCCATTTCATAAGTTTTCATGACCACAGTATTATAATTGTGGATTGTAGAATATGGAGAAATATTACAGGGTGGCCTCTAGCAAAGGAACACATGTAAAACTTATTATATTTCTTTCAGACATGAAAGTAAACTAAAAATGAAGCATTCCAAATCAAAACTGGGGATTGCTGTTACAGATATAAACAAAGAGAATCAATAGTCAGTTCATGTAACATGAAATTGGATATTTTTGACCTCGTGAAAGATATGCCGGCTCCTGGTTCATATTGTAAAACTGAGATTTAAAAGTTTGTGAAGATGGTACATTAGTACAAATATTATGTTTTTGGACATTATCCATCATCTTGTCTTTATCTAGAAACCGTCCTGTTTATTTTTCAAAACACAACCTGAAGATGGAGACAGAATCCAGTCTCTGAAACGCTGTGTTTTGAAAAATAAACAGGATAGTTTCTAGATAAAGACAAGACAATGGATAATGTCCAAAAAACTGTCTTACATGCTTGTTTTAACTGTTATAAGTAATTTAATGAATATAAAATTACTTACCAATTATGGAGCCATGATTTAAAGCACTAGTTACAGGCTGTAAGATGTCCTTGTAGTACTGTAGTACTTTGTAGTGGATGAGGTTATGCAGCCTGTTCTAGACATAGATGTTTGTATGAAATAAAATGTATGATACTGTTACATACTTCATTAAATTCAGCTTGAAAAACAAATCTTAATTGTGCCTTTACAGTCTTGGTTTAAGTAACGTTTTATTGAGCAAGAATTCAGAGCAGGTTAATGTACAGTTGTTTTAACATTTTTGTATAATTCTGTTGTCTGTTATGTAATTAACCCCTCATTGTGTATGCCCTTTGTGTGTGTAATATAGTGTTTGTTAAATGTACATTTATGCTTTATAGCATGAAGATGAATCATGGGATAGCACTATAGTGAAGGAAGAATATGAGGATGTAATTTCAGCAGAAAACTATGATCAGTGTCTAGACAGGTCAGTCTATTATTACCATAATTTACTGTGATGAATTACATATATATTTCAGCATTTAATTTTATGTAACATAAGTTGGGGATGGTAGATATTAGCATAATGGGAAATTGAATTTGTACATAGCACCTAGTAATGTTAGGTTAGTCAGATCAAGAAACAAGATATGGTGGGGAAGTGTATTGAAGGAAGGAAGGAAGAAAGAAATGCCTACAGAATTTATGATGAGAAATTTGTGGAAAAACCAAAGGAGATGAAAGAGTAATAATAAAACTAAAGATTACTGTTTTTTTTTTTTTTTGATGTGATGCCATGTAGTGTGGTACATGTTTATGAACTTTCAGGGGAATGTGCTACCTTTGTCTTCAGGTAGAAGAGTAAATTGAAGCACGGTATGGATATAGTGAGATGGATGGCCCTGAGCGGACGACCATTAGGAATAAGGAGTAGAGAATTTGAGATCCTTAAGAGGGGTATTTGGCCATAAAGTAGAGGTATAGGAAGTGTCATGTAACTTCAAACAAGGCCAAGAGTAACCTTGAATGCACAGAAGAAAAATTTCAGACAAAGGGCTGGAGGGTGTGAGAAGTGACAGGCAGCCAGTGGAAGAGCGAGTGTTAAGAAACTCCTCCTCACCACAAGCTATGCGCGGGATTTGACTAAGAATGCGGGGCCTTGTTCGAAGTTACGTGACACTGTCTATAGGAGATGTAATGGAGTAGTGAAACAGTGATCTTATAGGGTGTGTTTCAGTGAGAGAGTAATGTGGAAGGAAAGGCAGAAACACTAACGGAGGCTTAAGGCATAGTAAAAAGTCAAGGGAAGAAATGGAAAAGAAGAAGGAGGCCCTAACAAGGGCAGATTTTGTCCTGAGAGAACAGTATGCAACAAGTATGACATCTTTTGGAGAAAATGAAAAAACATGTGGATAGTAGAACAGAGTGATTTTGAGCCATCTTTTATGTGAGCAAGTCAGCTTGCAGTACTGGTAGTGAATGTGTTAACCCTTTCCATGGTGGCTTGTATTTAAAGAAACTTCCTTCAGTTATGATTAGTGTCCTCTGTGATGTGTCAGCCATGTGGTTTGTTAGGTGCCAGTGTTTTGAAAGAAAGTTGATACCTGCCCACTAGACATAGTGTCATATCCCAGGTGACAGCAATCTTCATAATCACCACCTTGAAACCCCCAAGTCTCTCATTTTTTTGTTCATTTTGTTCTGTGGTACCTCGGTGTTTCTGTTGTTGAAAAGCTACAAGTAGTTAGCTGTAATTGTTCCAATACAGTGGAACACACTTATGTCACACATTTTATCAGACACCACTTAAATCAAGAAAAACTTGACCAGTGACATATCATGTCTATAGCACAAAAATTACGTATGTTGCAACTGAAAAGGTCACATGTACTTGATAGTGGTTGTGCTAAATATTTTACATTTCTCTTTGATAGCTGTGCCCAAAGCCTTATGTTTTGTGTCCTTATGATAGTTATTCTTTCAAGATCACTGGTTAAACTCTCCTTGTTAAGCTTTGGGAATGGTTCATGTTTGATCTGAGTCCACTTGTCCATACTTTCACTTGGAACGTGATGGATTAAACTGATGGCTTCCTTCCTGTAATTGCTACTATGAAAACGGTTTTTTATATCATCATAAACGATCATTTTTGTAGGTCGTTACTTGTGGGTTATTTATAGATGATGAATCAACTGCAATGATTATTTGGTGTGGAATAATTTGAATGGAAGGCTGTGTACAAGAAAATATGGAAAGGATTGCTGAAGAAACAGATGTGACTTATTTTAAAATCTCGTCTCTCCTCCTTCTCATGGAGTGACTAAGTTAAACCATGGGTATCATCAGGATAGTTAGTATATGAGCCAAGTTTCGAACTGGATATATCCTGAGTTGAAGTCAGTGTGTTGCCATTTTATCTGGCCCGTTCATTACTGTGTTATTGGGGGTGTGGTGTTTTTGAACTATGATCAATTATCTTTGTATATGGCTTGTTGTATAATTAGAGATTCTACAGTCTAGCTTTTTTGTTTAGCTAGTGTTTCTCTAAGTATCCAGAATTTTTCCTTGAATATTCATAGTGTACTTTGGGTCATATGTGGATAGAAAGATGAAATTGATACAGTTACTCATTAGGAGAATCTCAAAGTATTACATTTACGAGTTTCTTAAGGGAATTTTAATATTGATGATGAAATGTTCACAACCATTTATAGGTCCCTTGGACTTCAAATTCTGTTACAGGGAACTCTCCAGTCAAGAGTCTTCCAGTTATGGTAGTTTGTCAGCTGAAGTTGATGGGCATAAACATTGTTATGGTGTCAGTGATATAAATAACTGTTATGATGGAGATAGGCGCAGTCATAGTGAGATTAACGTAGCGATGACAACCACAGAAGTAATGCTTGGTAATGTAAGCACCAACAAAGTACGTAAGAAGAAACGAAAGAACACAGGAGAAAAAATTTATAAATGTGATGAATGTAGTAGAATGTTTGCCAGGAAAGAGCATTTGATGAGGCATTATCGCACCCACACTGGAGAGAAACCATACAAATGTGATATTTGTAGTAAACTCTTTTCCCAGAATGGAACTCTGAAAGGACATTATCGCACACATACTGGAGAGAAACCGTATTCATGTAGCATATGTAATAAGAGGTTTGCAGAAAATGTAAATTTGAGGAACCATTCCCGTGTTCATGCAGAAGAAAGACTTCATAAGTGTGACTTGTGCAGTAAAGCTTTTTCTATGAGGGTTAGTCTCAAAACTCATTATCGTTCTCACATGGGAGGAAAGACACACAAGTGTGAAATATGTCGTAAGGAATTTTCTAAAGGTGACAATTTAAGGAAACATTATCGTACTCATACAGGTGAAAAGCCACATAAATGCGGTCAGTGTGGTAAGGAATTCTCTGTGAGTGCAAACCTGAAAAGACATATTCGAACCCACACAGGTGAAAAACCTTACAAATGTGTAGTCTGCAATAAGGAGTATTCCAAGAGTGAGCATCTTAAAACTCACCAACGAATCCATACCATAGTTTGACTTTTTGTAATGCTTGTGTTGAGTACCAACTGTTGAAGTGCTTTGTTTGTAAGGTTCCTGAAAAAGCACTAAATTGTAGAAGTTATTTCACATTGTATGACATGAGAGAATGAATTATTGAGCAGTTAACATGGCCTCTTCATGTTCAGGAGGTACAGGTGTGATTCCTGATTCAGGTCAACCATTGTGAGAGGTTTTTCATGGCCTCCCCTGTCCCTCCATACAAATGAGTGCTGTGATATCTCAAGATTGGTCTGATCATTTCCTTCCATGCCCATTTCAAACCATTCACATTTATCCTACCTTTCAGCGTTCCAAGACAAATGCAGCTGAAAAACTTTGAACATCAATCATGGATTGTACCATAGTTTGGACAGTCACTGGCTTCCTATGATGGTGGCCCAGGTTGAATTCCAGGTCAAGTCATATGACATTTGTGGTGGGCAAAGTGTCACTTGGTCTTTTCTCCTAGTACTTTGGTTTCCTTGCTAACTCTCACTCCACCAAGTGTACCACTTTCATTAATCATTGTTATCAGCACTGTGTAGTTTCAGTACTGATTTCATCATTAAATGATGAACTTAGAAAAGTGGTTATTGGGGTAATGGAATGATCATTGTTGAGAAGGATAAAAATAAAAAAGAAAACAGTGTAATGTTCTGTAACAGAAAGAAATAATTTCTGAAGGAAACGTGAGGAAGCGCCAATGTACAATACCATTGTTATTCATAATTATGTCAGTGTTATGTGTGTCTCCAGCTATGGTTTTTGACTGTCTTGGCCTCTGCTCATCTAATGAAGACTAAGGCAGGTATTCAGATTTTATATGGAAGTAACCAGGGTTACTGTCTTGCTCCAAGCAGTACTGTAATGATGAAGTCAGTAAAGAGATCTGTTAGAAATAATTTATTGTATTCACATATTCCAGTGTTGTGTTGAGTTTGAGGTTCTCAGTGCGGTGTCTTCAGAGATTACTGTCATGTGAGATACGGTGCATTTTAGTTTGGAATGTATTTTCTGTTGATCTAGAGGAACATGCTGTGTTAGTCTTCCATGAAGATGGAGTATTACATCCCAGAACACAGATCTTCAGTGTTAAGCCGATTTCTTAAAGTTTTATATACTTCTGTGACTTTGGGAATTTCATTCTTGTTATTTTTCCGTCTTCATCTTGCAGTGTGCACTTCGTGGTATTACACTTATAGCCTCAGTAAATTCCAGATTGAAGAAATACATATACAGTGCGTACAATCAAGTGCGCGCCGCGGCTGCAATTTGCCGTGAGTCATACCA